ATAAAAAATATTTAAATATAAACACATGTTAAAATACATTGAAACAAAACTGCCTAGTCGCTAAGTTTTTTATACTCGTCTAATGAATAAAAGGCATGGCGGATGAGAAACTTTTTCAAAGATAATTTGAAATGTTTCATATTGGTAATGAGTTTCAAGTCTCAAGTCAAAGTACAGCTTGTTGAGTTTTTTACACATCAACTTGTCTATTGAAAGTAAGTTTTTGGTCTAGTTCGAGGCCTAGAAATCTCGTTGATTCCGAGTTGTGAACTTCTGTGTTACCAACATTTATTGATAATTTATTACTGTGCTTTAAAGTACTACTCAATTCAATGGAGACCATTTTTTGTGCATTATTGATGAGGTGATTTACTTCACACCAGTATGTAAATTCTATTATTAAAGGGAAACTGTTGGAAGATAGGTTGCACTATATCATTTACTTGAACTATACTCATGAAGATGAATACCATGGTAAGACAGAACAGACAGTCTTCACAGACACAGTCTTCACAGACAGACAGTCTTCACAGAATGAATTATTTGAAAACTGTAATGAAAGTTTGAAACAGTAAGCAACTGTTTATGCGGCCAAAGGTTTTTTTTTTGCAATTTTATTGCTTTACAGTCCTTCAAGCAATTACTGATTTTATCAGTGTAATAATTGGTCGTTTTCATTTTCAGTAAATTAACAACTTCATTTCTGCAACTTTCATAAATAATCCATTTGAGTCGTTTGTCAACTTCATTGGAACATGTTTTAAAGTATTTATATGGTTTGGTTAACTCTCTAACTTCATTATCATACCAACAAAGTTGCCCTATTCTCAAGTTTGTTTTCAAATGTTGTTCAATGTTAGAATATATCACATTTAATCTAATATATAAAAATGGATGTTTGTTGGTTGGTTGATTGGTTGGTAAGTAATAAACTTCTACATCGCTCAACCGATCGTGATGAAACTTGACATGTATAAGTAATTTTTCATAGAGAAGGTTTTTAGGCTATCAATTTTTATGTAACTCGCCACTAGATGGCGCTTAAGAACAATTTTTTGAAAGAACTGTTCTATAACACTGCACACGTCTAAGTTCTTTGATTCTGATAAAACATTGAAACAGCAGCGATACAGCAACATAGTACTAGTAGAATCTATTTAAGATAAAGAGAGTAAATAAGTAAAAAATGTGCGAAAAATTATGAAGGAACATTGACAAAAAAAGCTATACTTACTGAACTCTATCAGAAATCTGCCGAAACCTTGTCTTTGGTACTGGGGCATGGTCATTATGCAAGACACGTTGTACTTCTGCACACAATGTTTCTCTTTGGAAAAGTATCCAATCAAATGACAACCTTTTTTGTCATTCTTTGTCAATACGTAGAATAGAAACGGTTCCACATCATAATATAACGTTTTGTGATCCAAGAACAACTTGGCTAAAAGACACAAATTCTGGCAATAAATCTTATTTACATTACCATCCACTTCGAAAACCGACAACTCATTACATCTGTATATTTCTGTCGCGGGAGGATGTCGCCAAGTGCACTTATCTTGATGCCTTTCCAAAACAGCTTTACTCTTTGTATATTTCAAGCAGAATTCACACAGAAACAGCTTCGGCAACCTGGCATATTCTTGAGGAAAGGGGCTGGAATACCAAGTTTTTATTTCATATTTTCCGAATTCTATTGCAGCAGGACATCTTCCTTGATCTAAAATAGCTTGGGATGGAGACAAAACTGTGGAACTGGGATCCGTTTCTACTTTAGACGGCTGTGGAATTAAAAGAGCCGCCGTTGCTGCCGAGGCCTTCTCACGCGTATCTTTGAATAGTTCTACATCTTTCTGCGTTACTCCAGGAGGAAGCTGCGGTAGTTTCAATTCACCTAATGAAAAAAAGATATTTCTTTTTGGTTTCATAAATTATCAAATATAAATAATTCAACTTGTATTATGAAAAGCACGAATCAGAAAATTTTTGTTAATTCTAGGATTTCTTGAATTCACTATAAATAGCAGCTGGTCAGGTAAAAATTGTAGAGGATGTAAAACCCACAAAGGGCCAACCATCAACAAGAAAAACAAATTGTATAGGAAAGTATCTCAGTTTTTCATGGAATATGGACTAAAAAGTTCGTAGGCTAACATAGAGAAAAAAAGGTTTTTGATAAAATTTGATTTTACCAGTTCACATTTATCAGCCAAAGAGTGAACACCTATTTTGCTCCTGCTAGTTAGTACATGTGATTGTATAGAACTCAACTATGGATACCGAAACAGAGGAATATTATAGTGAAATGGAAATTCAGGATGATGGACAATGGAGAAAAGTGATGCATAAACGAAAACCAAGAAGACATCTGGAAAGTGCATCCAAAAGAAGTCATCCAAATCCAGAAGAAATCCAACGAATTATTTTGGGTTCACCCAACTGTACTAATTCCAATCCCTCAACCTCCACAAAAACAACAGATAATAGAATTCATTCCAATCCAAAAAACCAACAATACAAAAACTTCTCACTATTGATGAAAGAAATTACCCATAAAAAATACCAGCACACTTTCTTTCTAGCTGCAGATACAGGGTATTCCAGAATAGCATTCTGTAACAAGTTACTGATGAAATAACTAGAACACAGAAAGGATTCATTCTCAAAACAAATAATGATCTGAAGATAGTTACAGATACTCTTGAAAGACTTATTCGAAAAGATAAACAATTTCAGAGAAACTCAACCTAATTCTACAGCCCCCGAATCAGTCTCACAAACAGAAAGCTATAAGTGGCATAGAACGAGAAATCAGCGAAGAAAATATAAGCAACCATCTGAATAACAACGACTTTGAACACAGATTTTACAGAAGAATCATCTTCAGACAAACCGGATTACCAACATCACTTATAAGAATTATCAGTGGATCACTCACTACATTTGAAACCCTACTGAAAGATGGATTCTACTACAAATTTCGATACTATCCAGTTTATGCAATTAAACCTCCCCCTCCAACTCCAAAATCTTGCAACAAATGCCTTTCCTTCTCTCATTCAAAAGAAACCTGTAACACCCAACCAAAATGTCCCAAATGCCAGGGTTAACATCCAGAGAACCATTGTATTTCCACCTCACCACCGAAATGTACAGGATGTGGTTCCAAGGAACAAGCTCTCATATGTCAATGAACTGAACAACCCGATAAACACTAATAGACAGGAACTAATTCAAAAATTTAGAAACAGATTTGAAAACAATTTCAACGAAGATACCGCAGCTGTATTTTCCGGTCACCGTGTTTATATACTCATCTACGATCTTGGATCTGAAGGCTTAATCTCTCCAACAGAACCAGTCAACAATAATATCAAGCACATTCACGTCCAAAATAATTAATCTGCTATATTGCAACATAAACAGCTACTCATACAAAAAACACATCATTTGCAACTACATTGAGAATAATAGTATTGATTGTTCATTGTTTGTGGAAGCAAATAACAAAGACGACTCAAACACATCATACAGAGACTGGTCAGTTATACAGCTAAATGGTAATCAATTACATAACCGAATCAGAGGGGGTACTCTAGTTCAGCCACCATCATTTCAATGAATGCATACACTTCACAATCCCCTTCCTAGATGACAAACTGCACACTTTTTTAGTGTACATGCATCCATCAGCTCGTACTGAAGAGGTCATTTTTACAAAAGCATGTCTCTATAAATATGCTATCATTATCGGAGATTTCAATGTCAACAATAGAACGAAGAAGATACCTTCCTGACAAATGCTCCTTTCCAAAAATGAGAAACTCCTCCAACATTTATTATGCCAAACAGTGACACAACTCCAGATGTATTACCAACACAAATAACATTATATCAAATATTATAGAAGTAGAGGTAACACCCGATCTGGGATCTGATCATTTAGCTCTCAAAATATCTTTCGATATGGAGAAAAAGACAGAAGCAGAAGAAATCATACGTTACAACTTCCAAAAAACTGGAGAAAGTGAATGACTACATGATGCGTTACATAAAAATAAATTGGAAGATGAAATCAAGCATCAACAAATGAAAGAATTTTCTAATGAATTGTCTGAAACAATTATAAAATATTCACCCCAAAAGTAAATATGAACTTTCTCCATTCATTGTGAGTTTGATTAAGAGAAAAAGGAAGATTTATCGTGAATATAGAGCAAACAGAGATCCAACGTTTAAAGCTTCGATTAATGAGTTTAACAAGAACATTCAAAATTTGATTCAACAATACAGAACCCACAATTGGATTCAAATATGTGAAGCCATTTATGAAAAGAGAGGCAAATCTTACTGGCATGAAATATGGAAATTATCCAAATACAAAAAGATTGGAATAGATACTAAAAATATTATAGATAACAATATTGAATGAGTTACCTGCCGAAAAAGCTTACGTATTTGCTAAAAACTTGAAAAAGCTACACAGAACGTGTCATCTTGAACTTTGACCACAATCATTATGAAAATGTGAGCGATTGGTATGAAAACTTCTTTTCGCAGATACCCGTACAAGAAAATAATACATTTAATGTATATGAAGGAGAATATTTTGAAATCTTATATCAGGGAAAAAACTCAGCTCCAGGGCATGACTATATCACAAGAAAAATGTTGAGAAAGCTTGATTATGGCATTCACAAGTATATCATAAAAAAGCTATGAATTTTGCCTTAAAGCGCATTATATACCTGACAATTGGAAAATGGGCACAATAATTACAATTCCCAAACCAAACAAGGATCACTCCCTTACAGACATATTTTGTTCAATAAATTCCAATTATTATTATTATTTGATTTTATTTTTCAATATAGTTGCCTTCGAATACGATTCAACCAGTATAGCAGTCATACAATTTTTCGATACCATTTTTATAGTATGATTTGTCTTTAACCTCAAAATAGACCTCTGTTTCGAAGACTACCATTTCATCGGTGGTAAATTTCTTTCCAGTGAGCGTTACTTTGACATCTTTAGAACCTCGGCTATCTCAACCAACTACGCTTTGCGGTCATACAAAATAATTTTGTGGCCTTTTATATGTTATTGTCGGTAACAGCTTCTTTGTGGAGGCCGCTGCATGCATTTCACCTCGTTTAAACTTAGCAAACCACTTCTCAACAGTTGATTTTTCTGGTGCAAAATTCGAATAATGTTTATCAAGCCATATGTTGGCTTCTACAGTATTTTTTTCGCCAAAAAGCAATGCTTTATCAACTCACAAAATTGTTTTTTATCAATTTTCATCAAACAAAAGTTGCTTCACTCAAAATGTCCTATCCCACAAACTAATAGTCCGACAGCTGTGAAATTTGTACGTGTCTTTTGAGGTTAGGGTTAATTAAAAATCATATGGATTCAATACTAGTAGCGCCATCTGTTTGTTAGCTTACGAACTTTTCAGTACATCTAGTATATGTTTATATTTGCTATTTAACCTCCTTTATCTCCTTGGTACTAATGATAATGGTAATTGAATGGTAATATAATAATCATGCTATATAAAAATTAAAAAAATTGAATTTCCTTGGAATTTCAATAATCAAAGTAAATTGTAATAAAAATGAAATGAAAATGTTTCAAATACAAATTGATATTTAAAAAATTGCCTGATCAAGCAGGCGAATTACAATAAAATATCAAGTCGATCAACGAATATGATGCTATTGACCCAACGCTGAAATTTGCAATGAAAATACAAGCCTTTGAATACTGAAAAGTTTTTCATAATTTCACTCATCTTCGAAGACAAGTGAAATAAGTTATATTTGCAATTTCTTTCTTTGGAGTGCTCTGAAAAAAAGGTGTTAAACTATTAAAATAGTAGGGTGGGTATTAGGGTGAATGACGGAGAGGGAGGTGCAGTCATAATATGGTAGGTTTGGACATCCGATCTTACCCGTCAGACTGTTGGTAAACGGCGCCACAGACAGTGGACTTGTACCCATTTGATGGCGTTTTTTCGTGGCACGACCATCTACATCAATATTTGATTTTTGTTGTGGAGAATTTGGGACCGTTTTGGTAGTGGCCTGAAGCACTTCAGATTTTATCAATTTTCTTCTTTCGTGTTGTTTCGAATTGACCGCTGTTTTAACAAGCCCTGATGGTGTCATAGAAGGTGGTATAGGATCGTTTTTGATTGAGGTGTCAGGTGTGGGAATGGACTTGGGAATCTTATCCTTGGGGTGAGGAAATATTTTGATAGGATGGTTATCATCTACCTCGAGTTTTTCTTCCATTTTTATGGAATCTCTAGTTTTTTTGACCTCAACTTTCTCACACGGAACATTTTTATCTTCTTTGATTGGTTCTTCTTTAGTGTCTTTTGGTTTTCTCCTGTTGGGATTATAATTGGGTTGTGCTCTACTGGCTCTACTTTCTGAAGGGGCAGCAAACAGATGAGAGAGACCATCAAACAGACCCTTGAGTTGACCGAATCCGGGGGCTTTCTGACTTTTATCTAGAGTTGATGTATCATCGACCTGCTCTGAGGAATTCTCCTTCATTTCTTTGAGCCGAGCGTCCTCCTTCAAAGCAGCGAGAAATAAATTTTCTGAACATTTTGTTTTCTCTGAATTATTTGATCCATTTTGATTCAATTCATTCTTTTTAGCCTCAGCAGCCGCTGCTGCAAACCCCCAAGGTACATCTTTGTCTATAGGAATACCACCTATGCTACCAAACGTTTTTTTCTTATCGTCACCTACACAAAAAGTTTGTAGAATTTTGGAATTCCTGATACTTGCGATCGAATCTGAATTATCCACAGAAGAGTTTGAATCAAAGTCTGAAAAAGAGGAAGTAGAGCTATCTTCAAAACTACTATCTTCTTCCAACATTTTACTCTCGTTATTTATATCATTTTTGGGTTTGGTATCAATCTTTCCTTTGCATGGTGAATTTTCCTTAATTTTCGAACTTTCGCGAGCTTCAGGAGCAGCTGGTTGAGACTTGAGAGTTTTTTTAGGTTTTTTGGATGATGATCTACTATTAGGATTAACACTATTTTTAGCTGAATGATCAGGATCACCAACTTTACTACTGTGAGTTACTTTTTCATCAATTACATTTTCCATTTTTGTATCTACGCTTTTTATATCTCCAACAATCGGTTTTTTCTGTTTTTTGGAAAGCTGGGCCGTGTTACGTTTTTTCTTTCCAGAATTGAACACCGAAGTTCTGAAAAATTTTTGCTTTTCTTTGGACATGCGGTCATGAGTTTCTAACTGATCATTGTCGTGTAACATGGGATTGGAGGAAGGGGGGTTTTCAAGAGGAAGTGTATTTTTGGTGGGAGTTGGCGTACCCTCAAAATCGCTGTTATCACTCTCACTGAGGGCTGAAACTCTACTTTGGCGTTTCAAAACATCTTCGTTGCTTGGTGTTGGAGTTAAAGGTAACACTGAGGTCGCTGTTGCAGGCACTGTTGTAGGTTTTGAATCATTCGACCTGAAACAAATTACCATATTTTCAGAATTATCAGGACATCGTTGAAAACAATTAGAATGTATTTTGAAAAATTGTTGTTAATAAAGAATGTAAAATTGTTGCAGTGGACATATGTATGAATTTATTTAAGTATACACAGAGATTTTTTTAAGTGAGTACAATATATGATGAAAAACTGATTAATATTTATATTGCAAATTGGTTTATATAAGATTATAACAGATAAAAACAAAATACTACTCTCCAAATACTCAAATCATCATAATTATGAAACTAGCAATGCGGGACAACTCGAAATTCTCTGTACGTTAAATTATTCAACAAACTTCCATATAATGTGACTGAATTGAATTTTAATTTGTTCAAAAGGAAAATCAAAGAGTACCTTATACGAAATTGTTTTTATTCTGTACATGATTTCATGCAAAGTACATATTCAGACTTTGGACAACAAAGTACAGTTATTTATCAATGTATCCAACTATCCACAAGACAAAATCATTTAATATCTTGTCGAGTCACAATTGGGCAGGGTGTACCTCAGGGCTCGATCCTTGGATCAATACGCTTCCTTCTATATGTAAACGATTTACCCAATGCCTTGAATCTAGGTAGTGTATACCAGTTCGCAGATGACAGTCATTATTATTATCAGTCACTATCACAGGAACTAATATATCATAACTCTCATATAAAGCTTCAGGCATGTTGAATAGTATGGCCAGATGGTCAGAGACAAATATGTTTAAACTAAATGTCACCAAAACAGGGATTGTAATTTTCAACAAATCAATTAACTGCGAGACATGTCTATATGTGAAACTCTAGATTGAAGAAGCTCTTTCAAAGAGTTCTAACTTGATATTTTGACAGTGCCCTTGTTGTACTTCTTGGATCTTGTCTGCTTTGCAAAAAAATTATGTAATCTGTGGTCAATATTCAAATAATACCAGGCATTGTAACGTCCTGGCTATTCCCAGCTATAACTCTACATATTATGGAAAAGAGCTTACTATCAGGCAATAAAAGCATATAGTTCTCTATCAAAAGAACTTAAAAATATCACAGAGAATAATGTTACAAATTCATTAGCATATTATAGAATGCCGTAAAAGAATCTACCCCAAAAATTATTCCTGATAGAATCCTAACATTCAATATATTGAACAAATCAATATACACTCCTAGAAACAGTATACCTAGAGAAGATCCAATACAAAGAAAAGTTGAATAACTTTTTTCGAGATCAATTGCCCTAACACCAAACTGATATTTTTGCACTCGACGCGCGTTTCGCCAACAAAGTTAGCATCCTCAGGAGAAGAAAATTGTACCTGATGTAACCCAAATACAGACAAATTTACCTAAAATACCTGGAGTACCTGAATTGAGGCGTTCGGACCGTATAAAAAGACATACAACAATAACACGTTCAGTTTGAGTAGTGCCTCACAGATAATTAAATAGAAGTTATAAAGCTTCAAATCCTTTTTGTGACTCACATTCAATATTGAAATACTGAAAGTAACATAACATTTCAATATTAAATTTTACAAAAGAAATTTGAAGCTTTATATCTTCTATTAATTATCTGCGAGAGCTTTCGACAGTTGGTAGTACTGTCATCTTCTAGGCACTCCTCAAACTGAACTTGTCATCCTGTCGTCTGCCTCTTTATACGGTCAGAGCGTCTTAACTCAGGTATTTCAGGTACTTTAGATAAATTTGCCTGTATTTGTACTGCATCAGGTACTCCTCTTTGTGTTAGATCTTATCTAGGAATGTGTATGGTTTTGTTTAATATATTGAATGTGAGGTCTTGTTGTGTTTAAAAAAAACCATACACATTCCTAGAGAAGATCTAACACAAAGAAGAGTACCTGATATACCTGAGTTAAGACGCTCTGACCGTATAAAGAGGCAGACGACAGGATGACAAGTACAGTTTGAGGAGTGCCTAGAAGATGACAGTACTACCAACTGTCGAAAGCGTTCGCAGATAATTAATGTTTAATGGGTAATCACATACATCAGACTAGACAACAGAAAAAGTACATTAAAATCAGCAATAAGCTGAAATCAAAGCCGAACGAATTTAACAATTGTTCACCTGCTACATCATTAACCTGTCAACTCAAGCTACCCGATAAGGAAACCTAACAAACAAATTGCAGTAAACAACGGATTTGAAGCTGAATTAATAAACAATTTCATAATTTGTATTACAATCAAAAAATATATTTTTGATCTGGTCTGCATAAAAAAATCACACAAGTGGGGTTTCTCAAAGGAATGATGAAATTTCAGTATCCGTTTAGCATTCCTCAAAAAAAAGCAAATTCAAGCCTCACTATATCCCTCATTATATTGAATTCTCATTATATGGCTTTGATCATACTACCTTGTCACATGAATATACCGATGCAGACTTTTGAGCCACCTCTTTCAAACCTTCAGAGGATTACTTTTCAATCAATTACAATTTCCTACACTTCAAACAGTTGAATACTTACTTCTGGTTCTTTTCCTTCATCTTCTGACGTACTTTGTCAATTTTTTTACGGACTGCACTTCCAGATTCGCCTTTCCTCGGCTTCATAACATTATCATGGTGGCTCAAACAGTGTCGGCACCGCCATGGGCACTTTGGTTTTTTATCAGCAGGTGGATCCAAACAACCGATATGGTATTTTCTCTCACAACTACAGCAGCATAACAAGCAAGTAGATATGCCAGTATTTCCTGAAACAAATATTTTCCGAATATGAAAAAAAAGAGAATTACAACTTCCTTTCCAAATGAATGAAACGAACTATTGCGTATTTCAGGTGCTGGTTGTCTACTGTTACATGTCTAAAGTTATTCAGTTTCAAAGGTATGAGGAGCCACAATTTGTTTTACTGTGATTCGTAGAAAACATTTAAAAAATCAGTAATTGTTCCTAATTCGTATAAATTTCTTGAGGTTCATTGGCGGTAGATTCGGATACATTTCATTTAACTTTCTACATGTTCTGCTGATAATTTTGTCACACTGTCCAAAAATAATAAACAAATTATACCCAAATCTTCTTCAGCAGTTTTGTTCCATCGTTTTGAAGGTATTTGCAACTTCTGAAGTGACGAAAATGTCGATATTATTAGGAGAATGTCACAACGCTACTGTC